CTAGTCATCTTTAAGTATCGAAGATCTTTTTTTTTTATTTACTCATATTTTTTTATTTGTAAATAGATTATTACGTAATTGACATGTGAATTACATTCAGAGGTAATTTCGTACTTACACGTGTGTAAACTACTATAAAAATTCGTTTTTTACAAAATTAGGATGACCGTACTGAATGTTACATTGGTGTAAATTTTATTATAAGAAGGAAATGGAATGAAGACTAGAATTTTAAATATTTCACTTTTATTCCATATCGATGCCAAATAAAATTTTTTGTCAGTAGATGCTAACTGTATGCTTGTCACGAGACGCGAACATTTCGTGCATATGGTCTGTGAGAGAGTGAAAAGCAAAATGACATGGCGAAAACATAAATAATAACGTGCCATTTCTCAGGCTTCCGGGATACAGTCCAGCGTTACAACTATATTCTCGCTATGGCACATGTTTACGTTAGCTTTCAACGATCGACCCTTTGGGTTGCGATATAAATCTATATAAATTGTATTTTTGACACGAGATTTTTAATAAAATTTTATAAGATTATTGAAAAACCACAATCATTACGTTTATTCAAAATAATTCAATATTTTAATTTACCTAATATATTTTATTACACGATCGGACAACGAAACCATACATTATTCATAATTGAAAGAAATACACCTTAAACAGGGATGTAGAGGAATTAAAAGTTCTTAAAACACTAAAATGGCAAAAGAACCGCGTCATCGATCCCAAAGGGTTACAAAAAAGACGTAAATACCATCTAACTACACGTGCAGGTCGCTAACAAAAGCTCGCCGCGATTACGTCGCTCTTTACAGAAATTAAGGGACACCAATTTTTCATTATGATCAATTATCATTCATTCATTATCAAACATTACACGCAACGTATCCACTGTTAATCGGCTATCCTTTTCTTCATCATTGTTCTGATTCTGTTACAAGTTACGGCGTGACGTGCGCAGCTCTCAAATTGAGCAGAAATTAGCGGCCTCGCACGTGCACAAAAGTTCATCGAGACGAATCGGTTTAAATCTACGACGTGCACAATTTAAACGATCTAGATTATTCGTGCACGCTTATCACAATACGCAACAGGCAGTATCGCTGTTTTTTAATACGAAGAATATACGGTTTTTTTTTCTACGAAAAATCCAGTTTTAATTTCTTAATTGTTCTAAGCGCGTGGCGTGGTGATGCTCGCGTTTATTCTGTTGGCAGTTACTTGAAAATTTCATGACATTATACATTCGTGTGCATGTTCGTAAAAATTGATGCGATTTTGCTCGACTCTTCGTCGTATTTGGAGATCGATTTTAGTTATTTGCACTTGAACATTAATAAAAAGAAGGGGGAAATATTTTTTTTTTTTTTAATTGCATACACGCGCACCACATTCTCGCGATCATTATGAAGTCCATTAATTCTCAGTTCTTACTTACATATATATAAATCTTTCCATCGTACTGGGGCACTTTGAAATCTTCCTCTCTTCTTTTCTCCGAAATTCTTTTATCGCATCTGAGTCACTCGTTACCCATCAGAAAAATTTCCAAAAATTACAGGTATATGTAACAAAAATCACAAGGTGATCTTTACTTTCTTTTTACGAGACTACAGTCAATATTTAGCGGTTTTTTATGAATATCGCACGACACAACGTGAGTCACTTTCATTCTGGTTCTCTTTTATACGATTCTCGCAGTCATCACACAATCATCGATCATGTAAAATGGAACATACACGGCGTTTAAATTCGATCTACAATAGATCTTCTCATCGTAGAACATTCTCAGTTCGAACGAGTTTGCTCCTACATAGTATTATAGACACGAGATGCATTTATTACCCAAAAGTATTTCACTTTTCGTCATTTCCATCGTATTTCAGAAATTCTACATCGTTCAGGGAATCCGTGATCAGATTCGAAATTTATATTGAATGGAATAGACGGTTTAATTAAATGCATCCGCAATCATTTCCTTTTTACTTCGCGTAATCACGTATAAATTCTTAGGGGAAATTACTAAATTTGAATAACTAGTTACATGGGGCTAGTATAAAGGAAACAAAGCAACATTAGACGAGTAGGATCATCGCAGAAAATTCACGATTACTCGTTTACTGTGTTACACAATGGCGAACAACGTAAATACGCTACTAGGAATAATAGTAGAAAAAAACGTAAATAATACTTTACTAGAACGCTATCGGATGTACTTATTAAAAAAACGCAGGGACGCACCTATTTGTTCATAATGGAAGAAACAACCACGATTTTTAAGACAGTCGCTTAAGTGGTCCATAATGCTTCCACGGTAAAAAACCCTGTTCCCTGTCTTCGCATCCTTAAATCCTCTCATCTAACATAAAGTACAGTGTCCAATTGTTAAACGTTCTTGTCTTCATCCAACAAAAATGTTATGCAATTCTACACGTGCGCGCAAGGTTCTTCCTCCTTCTTTTCCCTTAAGGAAAAACGAAAGGAAAACGAACCGGACGATCAGTGTTGTTTGGACTCACCCACTTGCCCCGAAGGCAACG